GATTGCCATACGTGTTGGGCTCAGATAGAGATGGTTCTTTTACTTCAGGCTAAATTTATTATTCATTTCTTCCTTTAAAATGCCTTCAATATAGTGAATAATCCTCAACTTTTTGGGCTAGGGTGGAGATGATTCTTTTACTTCATGAGTAACCTCAACTTGGACAAAGTAAGGAATTTGTTATCCATTTCTTCCTTTTAAAATGCCTTCAATATAGTGAACAATCCTACCCAAACCAGTCCTCTCTATCAAATGAGGCCTAAGTGTTTTGTCTTCCTTTTACTAATTTCCAATACCAATGCTCTTGTCAACTTTCGCTACCACATATATCTGCTTTCCTCTTCATGTACTTTGGCTACGAATCGGACTTAGACACTACTACAAACGTCCTTTTAGCAACCTGAATACGTAGTCGCTCTTTGGACTTTAGGCAACCAAAACCATAGGTCATCCCCCTTCTTACGAGTTTGACATGCATTCACATGCACTATTCCACCAACCATCATTGATGTAAGTATAACTTAATTCCTAAACGCGACATGAACTACGATTATGACTGCAATTTAATCCCTTCATATGTTCCTAACTCTTGATATCCTCTAGAGAATCTGGAATATGTCCGAACGGATTTCCCCGAAAGAAGTAAAGGAAGAAGCAAAAGCTTTCGGCTGAGTAAAATAGGATTTTATTTCCGTAAGCCTGTTAGTGCAACTCGTCAACATACCCTAGTAAAATAAAGGGTTTTTTAGATATAGACCCTTACAACTCTTATTTCCTATATAAAAACCCACCTAATTATAAACATCCAAATAAAGCTCAAATTTAGAAGTGATTGCCATGTAGGAAAGTAATTGACCTATTAATACAAAATATTTACAACTTGTACCACAATATTCAAAATAAATCAATAAATATTATTACTCACCTTAATTACAATGAATAAATAATTTATTACATATTATTACCCCTAACACACACACACACATATATATATACATATATACGTTCAAATGTATATAGTACTACCACAAGCTCCATATATACATATATATATATATATATATATAGTACTACTATACGTTCAAATATATATATATATATATATGTATGTATGTATATGCACAGTACTACATATATGATCAAACATATTATACTAATTAATCTACCTATATGTAAATTTATGATGAGCAAATAACATATATTTTGTAGGTATCATCATATAGATTGGGCACATTTCATTATTATGTGGACAAAAGAATAGGTAAAATATTGAATAAAATAATAATTTTTTTTTTTTTAATGTTGGTACATTATTTTGCTTTTATTTTGCTTAGATTGGGTTTGCTTTATTATGTAGGTAAATTATTTTGTATGTATTTTACATATAATGGGGAAATTATTTTGCTTTTTTTTAAGCAATCTAACATTTTAAAATTCGAATAATAGGTGCACTGAATCAAATAACATTTTTTGGAGCTAAATTATTTTGCACGAATTTTTACGTATACCAGGTTTTTTTTTTTTTTTTGGTTATATATATTTGTGTGAAATAATTTACCTACATTTATATGTAAAATATAATTTGTTGACTTAACAAAGCATGTATTATTAAATATATTAGGCATGTTTTGTTGTTATTATATATTAGGCAATAAATTTATTATTTATTATTTTCGTAAAGTCATTAATTCTCTCTTACTAATTGTGTACATTAAACATTCAAATATGGGTGTTTTGGGCATCGAAAATTTTTAAATGTGTAAAGTCAAATATAATTAATGAATTTGTTGATGTGGAATCTAGTTAATGAGTTTTATTTGAATAAAAAACTTATGACGGGTTTTATGTGAAGAAAATTAAATTTCAGGAGCTAAAGTCATAATTTCAGTAACTGCTTAGTCCAACAAGCTCCACCTTGTTCCTCTCGTTTTGCTCCACAATGCTAGTACTCATTGGTCGTCTGCATTCAACGATCGATATATGCTAAGGTGGCAAGAAGTAAAAGTGATAGCTTCCTCGAAGAAATTTCCTTTCGGAAAACATATTCACCTAATCAAGTCTTGCTCTGCTTCGTCACTCCAACAGTGTAGATTGGTTCAATTCTTTTTTGCTCTCCAAACTTACCCATATGAAACGAATGCTTGAAAATGATGATGATAAGCCTGCCTAATACAAATAAAACATATAGTGTCATTTTCAAACACTATCCTCATCACTTACCATCTTTCTTTTTCTTTAATTTATATAAAATTATTAATTTAATTTAATTAATTCAAATTTTCATGGTGATGAGTCTCTGTCTTAGCACAAAATTAAAGTTTTCATACTATTCTTTCCCTTGATATGATATATTGAGGAAGATCCTGCCTAGCTGTAATAATATTGTAAGTAAAACAATTTCAGTAACCAATTTCGATCGTCCAACTGCTGCCTACACACAATTGAATAAGGAAAAAAAATGGAGAACAAACCATTTAAACAACAACATAGAAGAAACGTGAGGACATTCATTTACCCTACATTGAGCCCCATAAAGTATTTAATAAATTCCTCCAACTTAAAACAATTTTGTGGGTCAGTATAAGTTTCAAAGTGTCTCCATCTTACAATCGAGTTATTTAACAAGAAATAATATAAACTTTATTAAAGTAATACCATTCTAATTTCTATAAATCCTTCAATATATATGTTATTTAGTATACGATCGACTTGAATTGAACTTTTAAAACCGGCATCGACGAAGTAATATATAGAGCATCGACCAAGTAATATGTACAGCATCCCAGATAGCTGTTAAGAAGAATTAGTTTCATACTAATCTTAATAGTTCTGCAAAATAGATTAAAAACCAACCAAGATCTTATACCAAGTAAAAAAATGGCCAAGATCATATTGTGGTAGAATATTTACACATTTCTTTTTACTTCTCACATGTATCTTTTCAATTTTGGCTTATAGATCAAATAAATTGAAAAAAATTAAGTAATAAAAATTAACAAATAATTTGAAAAAAATAAAAATAAGTGTGTCGATAACATCATCAATCATGATATTTGAAGGGTTTACTAGGATGATAGGTTAAACAACCACGTGGCAAACAGCACTGCATGACAGACAACTTGAAGACTTGTTCTGACAGGCACGAGTCTGGAATTGGCTACAAATCAGAACAAACATAAAGGGCACGTGTCGGCTGTAATCCACAAGCTTTCTACGTTACAACCACCAGATACCGGCCACGTCAAGGAGGCAGCACTGGAAACCCTAAAGAAAATGGGATACCAAGTTTTGACCAAGGGCAAGTGGCAAGGGATAATTCGGCGACGTGTGACAGGTGACAGAGTCTTGTCAGGGCACAACTAAATTTTTGGTTTAAAATAAAATTCCTTTGGTGATTTGTTCAATGTTTATTGATTTGAATACGATTTTAATTCAGATGTGGGGTTTGTAAATTGATCGTATGGATGAGAGAACCAAAGTTGGACACGTTCCGACAGTGACTTGATCAAACCATTTTCATGGCTCCGAATCGGAAATGGAAGCGGCTCGCCTAAGACTAAGCCCTACCCTTGAGGAGTTCTTAATCGTAAGTATGAAACTTGGTGTATGATGGAGACCTATTACTCACTAAGTTTAGGTTCAGTGTTAATCACATCCAGTTTATTAGCGTGATGAACATGATCAGATTTTTTTAATAAGATAATTTGACGTATTACATTATTAGACTATCAAGTAATGTGAAAATGTATTTCAATGTGCAACCTTATTGATAATTTTATGTTATACTAAACTCAACACTTTCATGCTCTCTATAGAGATTCTAATTGTACATGTCGGAGTATCTACTATTTGATTAGCACTAAATTCAGGAGTTGGATGTTATACAATTTGTCTCTAGTGACGTATGTAATAGAATCAGTGGAGAAATATGATCGACAAAATTTGATTAGTACTCAGTACTATATGCGGTTTGGTGGTATTCCTCTTCACTTGTAAGCGATAGGTTTTAGGTTCGAATCTCGTAGATAGTAAATTTGATACCAAATTAGGTTGCTCATTGTGTGATTTAGCCGAACTTTCTCTTCCCTTAGTATAAAATAAATCTTTATACCAACAAAAAAATTCAAAATGTGAGGAGTAAAGCAAGGAGCGAAGTACAACAAAGAAGAGTGGCATGCAAGATTCGTTTACTTGCGTAACGAAATTTTTTTGAATTCGTCAGAACTTCAGCCTCCGTATAAAATATTGTATCTCCATTTAAATTAAGCTACGACAATTCAAGGGGTAGGACTAGTAGAGACCAAAACTAAACATATAAGAACCTATATATATTAGCATCATAGATTCATATATAGGTCTCACAAAATCAACAAAGTCGGAAGGTTCAGTGTTGGAACGTGATTCACGTTGCCGACATCTATATCACTCATTAGGAGAAGACTTAGCTTGACTACCATAGTTCAAATTATGAAAATGACAAAGGCATTTTAAAATCATGTCATAAACAATATTAAATCACTAAAATATGTGCCTGCATTAGTGCAATTAACAAAGACAGCTTCGGCTTAAAGCTAGCCAGAGCCTAAGTTCATGAAGGGAAAATTAATATTTACTATATAGTATGGCCTTTGAATAATTTAGGAGAGATTTTTCGATATACTTGAAATACCGTTTCATGATAAGCTTCATCAAAATTATCATATGGTTTGTGCGCAACTTAAGAGAGTTTTTTTTAATGTACTCGAAACACTGTCACATAATGTTAAAATTTTACTAAAACTGTAACACGTGTATTTGTTTTTATTATTTACCTACCTTATAATAATTATATATCAATTATGTCGCTCATTAATATTATATCATATATCAAATGATTGTTCTAGATACAAACCATAATTTTATTTTCTTTTGCAAAAGAAAAAGAAAAATGGTGTTGATTAATGTAAAGAGAAAAAGCACTATACGTATCAGAGCCCATAGATTTTGGATATAAAGAAGCAATCACAAGTCGCAAAACCCAGTCAGATCAAAAAACCATGACATCAAACACACATTGCATAAAGCCATAAAAACCAACAAATTCCATATCATGCACATATCAGAAAAAGCACACACTCGCACACTCCCAAAACATTCCTTCCACAACCACCCACAAAACCCTGTTAAGATTTTCTAATCGATCTGCCAAGATGCTCGATAAAATCGAATATTCGAGTCCCTCGGCAGAAAATCATGAGACTTTCAGCTGCATGAGCCCACTGGGAGCTGCCACTACAAGGAGGAAGAACAACAAGAACAACAAGAGGTTCAGTGATGAGCAGATTAGGTCATTGGAGTCCATCTTTGAGTCTGAGTCGAGGCTTGAGCCGAGGAAGAAGATGCAGTTGGCCAAAGAGCTAGGGTTGCAACCTAAGCAGGTTGCTATTTGGTTTCAGAACAAGAGAGCTAGATGGAAGTCTAAGCAGCTTGAGAGAGACTACAGCAAATTGAGAGCCAATTACAACAACTTGGCATCAAAGTTTGAAGCTTTGAAGAAAGAAAAGCAGGCCCTGGTTGTTCAGGTAATTGTTCATTCATTCCGGTTTGCTAAATATGCCTAATCGAAGAACAGTGCTTGGTTCATCACCTGTAAGAAGCCATTCTTTGTTAACCTTAAGTTTAGTTTGATGCGTGTAAAATTAACTCATTAAAACCATAAAAAAGAGGAAAAGTTTAGGCACATGTGTCATGTGTAAGAAGTAATTACTCGTTACATGTAAGGAACAAAACATTTTTCACTAATTTTAACATGTTAAGATAATCAAGAACTGATAGATTATGTCTTATTTTGTGACAGGTGCAGAAGCTGAATAATCTGATGATGATGCAAAGGGAGAATTGTGGGGAAGATGTAGTTATGAACAATGGCATTGACGGTGAGTCAGATAACGGAGATGCCACCATTTCTGAATCTGATAAGGTGAAGCTTGATTTTTCAGTGGAAAAATCAGAGCAAGGAGGACTTGGGGTGCTGTCAGATGATGACAGCCGCATAAAAGCAGAGTACTTTGAACTGGAAGATGAACCAAACCTTGCGAACTTAGTGGAGTCTGCAGACGGTTCCTTGACATCAGCTGAGGATTGGGGGAAATTGAATTCTGATGGTCTTTTTGATGTTACGAGTGGTGATTATCAGTGGTGGGACTTCTGGTCTTGAAAACAGAAATTGTGTGCATATATATAATGAAGTGCTGCATCTAGTGGAGTGATCAAGAAAAAGGGGCTTTTTTCATAAGAATGTCATTAGCTTTTGGAGACTGGTTGTTTATAATCATGCCATTTGCACGCATCCTCCTACGCTTAATCACTTTGATGCTCTGTTTAGTTACGACGTCACAATTAAACATATGAATGAATGAGAACTAAGGCCAACAGATATATGGGGATCTTATTGGGAAAATGAATTTTAAGGAGCATTGTGTCTTTGTGATATGTGGGTCTGTGTCTAATCTTGGAAAAGTAACATTCACAAAGCCCAAAGACAAAAACATGTATGCATGCGCTCAGCTAGAATTTTGTAGGAGTTAGTTTGTTGCTCTAAAACTAGATCTTGAACCCTGATGCAGCCTCTAACATATATGAATTTGTTTTATTTTTGGTGTCAATGCCCTTTTACACACACGCAGTTAGTTGTCGCACATGACGATCTTCTTCCTAGTACTATATTATAACTACACACGCAGTCAATTGTAAAGAAGATAAATATTACACAGGCAAGAGCACCATCCACGCAAGAAGACAAGAATTTACAGTTGTTCAATCAATTTTGTTTACGGCCACTCTGGTGATCCCCTTCAAAAAAATTCACTAGTTGGCAAAGACTAGACAGCTTTGGTTACTAAGGAACCCCTTATTCCCTATCAAACCGTAGGTCTTAATCTCTCACGCACTCTAGGTCTCAAGCCTTATTATGCCTCCCTTGTAACTTGTACACGAATTAGAATAACTCGACAAGCTCTCTCAGTCTATTTGATATTCTAGGTTCATATCCATCTCTCAAAATCCGTGGTAAAGTTCTACTTACTGTAGGCAAGCTTTAGGTAACGAATCTAGATCCTCTTTGTGAGAATCCCAAGGATCCATGAGTCGTGTTTATTCATCGTAAATCGTGCGATCAGAAATCACTTTAATTTTTTTTATTTAAAATTGAACACAAACAGTACATGATGAAAACTGATTGTACGATATACGATAAACGGATATGATTTACAAATCTTCGGGATTCTCACAAAGAGAATCCAGAGAGGATCATGTTGGTTAGGTTACAATATGAAGCCCAAAACATGAAGATAACCCAAAGAAACCATACTTTTGGGTGTTTTCACTTAATTTTTGTTTGAGTGGAAAAGAAAATTGCTCATTCAATTCGGGTACTCCTCTTTGACTTGAATTCAAATAGACTTGCAATCCAATTGGAACTTTAGTGAGCCAATCACAACAATTTCTACCTAAGCAACCTAGCTAGCAACCAAGCCAATTGTTGCTCTGCAAGATATTTGATATTCTTGAAAGAACCTCACAAAGGTTTGAAGAACCGCTAACTTGGCACGAGACAACTAACTCAAATGAGGACGTGCTTCACTAGTCAAATCTATACAATTTATCCAAACTCTGATTTGGTCCAACTCTTATATAAACCAAGCTCAAAATAACTTATTTTTCAAAAATGTTCAATTCAAGTTTAAACGAAAATTGTAAATAATTAAATAATAGTAGGATATGCCTATTTCTGAGAGATTTTTCATCAATATTAAGAAAAAAATCAATGGAAATAAAAATATTCTTAGATAAATCAAAATAGTTTTTTTTTTTTTTTTTTTTTTTGTACAAAAATAATGACATATAGTCCAATAGCATGTCGAACCTCAAACGCACATTTACGAGGTAAACTTGAACCAAACTCGAGCCATCTCATAAAAAAATACAAGTAGTCACTCAGGAGCTTTTAAGAGCAGAGCATACCAAACCTCAGACTCAGGCCATTAATAGTCAAAACACCACACCGCAAGCACTGTTCCGTGTTCGTTACATACATTCACAAGATACGCGGCCCGTTTGTTTCAAGGCGGTCCACACAAACGACTGCCAGAGTCACAAAACCCAGTCGTATGACTGCCAAGTGTCGAAATGGGATTGCGTTTAGTCACTTTACCCGACAGTCTCCTCCTCCGTTCTCACTGGTTCAGCAAGGTATCGTTTGGTATGCAGACAGGACGGGACGGAACGAAATGGGACAGGACGGGATGGGACGGGACGGAACGGAACGGAGCGGGTGCAAAGATGCCCTCGGATGGAAACAAGGAGGAAGAAGAAGGAGACGAAGAGGTTATAATTTTGTGTTCCACAGATGTGGAACGAGTCGTTCCAGGGGATGAGGTGGAACGAAAATTCACCCAAAACTTGTCCCGTGCAACAGCTCGTTCCACCCGTTTTAGACGCACCAAACGTGGGACGGAACGCCTTGTCCCACTCTGTTCCGTCCCGTCCCACGTACCAAACGGTACCTAAAGGTGGGAGCTTTATCGAAAGAGCGACGCCATAACCACCAATTCAAAAGCTCGGAGAAGTAATGAACGACCTCTCCAATGGCTCCAATGGAGCTCTGAGAGACCACAGAAGCAGCACCCTGAAGCCCATTCCGTCTCCGGTTCTCTACATTCTCGTACTCATCTTTTTTTCTGGGTCTCTCCGTCTCAATCTTCATTCTCATTCTCGTCCGCAATGCCCTCTTCTTCGTCTTCTACCTCCTGCTCTCCGCCCTTGTCGCCACTTTCGTCGTCTGGAATGTACGGCACTGGGCGACCAAACGTGCCGTCTTTTGGTTCCTCGACTCGGTTCCGGAGTCTGACATCCGCCTCGGCCAGCACGGGCAGCTGGAGTGTAATGTAGATGTATGTGATTGGTTGCTGAAAAATTGGAGGTAAACGAAAAGGGAAATTGGGGTGCTTTGTTGGTGTTATCTCTGTTTGAATGCTGTATTATATGGTGGGCATATGTCCCAGTGTTTGGTTTCTGAATTTTAAACAAGAAGAATTTGAAGTTCTGGAGAATTATTGTTCTTAGAAATCGAGCGAAGCGCAGCTGAATTATTGGAGAATAACTTTAAGTGGTGGAAAATCAGAAAACTTGTTTGATATCATTGAACTAAATTAAGACTTTGGGGTTCACCAACAAAATAATAGACTTTGCGAGCTTGGCTGGTTCAATCTTTGTTGCAATTGTAGGTTTATGCAGCACTTTCACTTTCTAGTTAGAACTCATTCGAAATATAGCATCGTCTTGAAAGACTTTAGGCAGCTGTTTTTCTAGTCATTTTTGACGTGGGGTTCTATCTAACAAATGGATTGTGCACGTGATATGTGCTCGTCTTTAAACTTGTAAATATATGCATTACGGTTAACCTTACCCTTTTTCTTGGTTATTTCCACCAGTTTCTCATCTGTCAATCAGCATGTGGTCTATTCAACATATGGGAGGACGAACAATAATATGTTGTTCCAATGATTTCAGATTGCATCATGTGGAATATGTTGTTCCAAAGCTACCGGCTGTATCTATGCCTCTACTCTTTTATACGAGTACAGGGGATTAACTCTACAGCCAGGGAATATCGAGAGATCATGCTTCCATTGGCATTTAGCATATTGTGAGGGATGAATACTCTTCTGTAGCCATGTGGATCAGCAGACTGTTGCATGTCCAAGTTAGATCAAATAGGTTGATTGCGTTCATGAGATGGATAAATCATTCATACTTGTTTCCCTGTTCTTTGTGCTTTGCGTCAATTTATGCGTTTAGTTAACTTTATCAGGATTGGACTGCTTAATTGGCACTTGGTACTCATATGATCACTCAAGTTTAGTCATTTTTTATGGTCTTGTTTTCTGCCACATCCATCTGATCATCTTGCACCTCGACTTTGGACTTCATTTGGCCCTTGGACTAAAAAACACGGTCCAAATTACTATCCATTTAGCTCGACTCATTTGCTCATAACTAAAGATTTTAGTGTATCGTTGCTTATTGTTCCCAGTTAGGAATTCCTGTCTTCTATCGGGGAGCTGATTGTCTCATGCTATGTTTTGGCTCCTTTACATTGGCATGCTTACATCTATTTTGCTCGTTGTTTTTGTGGTGCTCACTATTTTGCGTGTTAAAGATTTACAAGTTTTGGAGGCCTCAGGCTTTTACCCTTCTGTTGCCTTGGATGGCTTAACCTGCATTTTTTAGCATCTACTGCTTCCTATAAAGATCAAGGTAATTGGAGAAAAGATGATGGTAGAAAAAGTTTGAAGATAATATGTGTGACATAATCTATTTTAGGCTAGTGATTAGTTTCAATAGTTAATTTGTAATTAGTATAAATAATACACATTTGAAGTTTCGCGCTCGTTTCTGTGCTTAGTATGCTTTAATATTTCATTTATTTTGTGATTTTGCCAAATCTAAACTGCACAAATGTAGCGGTGTAATCAAACCAACCAAACGAATATATTATTTTCTTTTTGTAGATATATAAGAAAATTTGTGCAGATCATTTTCCTGAAATCTTGATTTGCATATCTATATACTAGTATCTGAATCACGAAGAATAGGAAATATGTGTACTTAGAATTATAATTTCTTTTTCTTCTTCCTCGCTTTCCTCCTGACAGAGATTCTCACTAATTGTCGACAGCAAACTTGTCAACACTAAAAGATGCAGAATCCTCTCTCCTCACTTGAGGAAATGGTTAAGTGAGAGAAATCTCTCACCTGAATCCCGTCTACTACGTCTGGAGGAAGGGTAAGCTAATTATACATAACAATCTCGGTTAAATACCCTGCTGCGTAAATGCTTTCGTTTACATTTTGGCCTGAGCTTCCTAAGAGCTTATGTCCTGCAGGTTTTCATGAGGTTTTGCAGGTATGTTCAAGAAGGCAGCTCTGTGACAGTATTTGGAATGTTGCATAGAAACAATGACATGACTACGATTGTTCAACCGCCAGAAGTAATCTCGACCGGGTGTCTATGGCGACAACTGCTTCTCCCCGTTGACATTGATGGGATGATCCTAAGGTCCTCTTAAACGCCGGGAATTCTGTCAACTAAGGTTCAGTACAACAGGCAGAAAGATATAGTAGGTAGGACAAGATTTTTTTGGATGATAACCCAATTTCCTTTCATTGTGTACACCTTCAACTAATCACTGATCACTAATCACTAATCACTATGTAGCCCTTCTTCAAATGTACTAAGCTTGTAACATTATTTTGCTTTTGAAAAGGGCTTATTCCGACTTTTAACAAAAGCACTAAAGTACTTTTTATGAGTGCAAAATCTCCATTTGGTAATAGTTATCTATTCCAATGGGCCAGAAAAACAAATGAAAAGCTCATCGTGTATATAAGCTCATTAGCATTTCGATTCAAAATGTAAAGGGCATAAAAAA